GGCTCTGAAATTGTCGGACAAACTGGTTGAAAATGGATACAACTGTGATGAGCGATTAGACATTTGGCTGGAGTATTTCGGCAAAATTTGTGCTGTGTTAGAAGGTGATAGAGATATGATTGAAAGTATGAATCCACCTGTTTTCTCTCAGTTACAATAGTTTTTACAGGAATTGTACGTGAATATTTTTTGAGTTGCCATAGTGGAGAACGTTCAGATTTTGCCATTCGATTCAGTGGTAATAAAATAATTCAAATCGAGATAAATACTATAAAACAAATACTTTAAAACAAACTCATCTTGTTAAATTTCATCATTTTTCGAGCTTTCAGATTTTGATAAAATGGATTTTCAGATAAGGTCATAGGGACCTCAATTGGTAACATCTGCGATGTTAAGTTCTCTGGTGTAGAGACTCGCTTCTACGTCAAGAGCCACCAAAGAGGGCTTCGGCCGGAATCGATTTCAATACGAAATCGTTATAGCAGCATAGAGCCGCCGTTCATCCAGGAGATGTACTTATATAAGGTAATGTATTCTATCAATTTGAAATAACTAAAAAATGGTTTAGCTGTTATCATTGCTAGGTGTCGGAGGAGATGTTCATTTCATACTCCCGATGACTTCTAACATGAAAAAAGCGTTATTTTTTGCAACTGAAGCGGTCGATTTCACGATCGCAAAGAATTTAACAGTTGAAAGCGCAAATGTTACCGCAATGCTCCTCGTGTATTATCTGGAAGTAATTTTTCAACTGGAAGACATTGGAACCAACCGAGGGAATTTCGGACAAAGTCCTGGAGGAACGCCAGTCATCATAGATTTTTTGTGATTTTTAGTTTTCAAATATTAAATGTTATCTACTGTATTCCAGGGTGAGTCCAAAAGATAACTTTGTCCTCTCCGATTCTCAAATCGACGATCTCTGGGGAGAGCTACGTAACTGTAGCCGATTTATCGCAGATGTTATAAAAGGAGTTACTAGAGAGGAAAGAAAAAAAATAGTTCATAAAGCTGTAGAAGATTGGGATTTAGTGAGCAAAATCGATGAAGCTAAACTTATATTAGATGCATTTTTATTAAAAAATAGTGAAAAGCTGGTAGTTACCGGTGATCTCAATCTATACGTTAGGGATATCAAATCTAATATTGCGAAATGTTAGTAGTTTAGTAATTCGTAATTATCTGTAATTTTTTCATCTACAATTTCTTGGTTCTGTCATATACTTATTACTTGAAACAACTACTTCGATCAATATAAACTCTCTTACAGTCAGAAGTATTTTTATTAAAAATTAAAATAAACTAACCTCCAGGGACCCAAAACGAAAGAAAATCGATTTAGAACCCAATCTATACTACATCGATTACAGTACTCTTTAATTCATTCATCTTTCTATGAGTATCCTGTCGTTTGATCTGACTATTCTCTTTATTCCATTTTTTTGTATTATTTTTCGGCAATTTTAAACTCTGATCGAAACCAGCTA